TCCAATAAATTTTTTTCCCCTCTCCTCTCCTCTCATGTTGTCACTAGTCCTTTACAATGTTCTTTGCAAATGTTTTATTCTTACATTTTTTTTCATACCTGTATTATTCCAATGCCATTTATGTTTTTTCAATGTGCTAATCAGTTTGTGCAGCAAGAAAGTGGGTGTTGCCATTCGAAAATTTTGAAGCTTATTCGCCATAATTGTAACAGCTGTATTGTTTTAGATCATCCCAATCTCCAGTGCATACCTTCAAATAACATTACAATATCTAAAATTTTATTTTGAGTGGTTGAGCGTGGATAGGTAGGCTGCTAGGAATTTATATATTGGGGAAGTTTTTTGATGACCAACCCGTTTTATATATCTACATACATTTTGGTACTGCTGATTGCAATAAAAAGGGGAGGTGCATAACTAGATACAGATATCCTGGGGGTAGACTGGAATCACACCCTGGCGTTCTGGCTAAGACCTGTACTTAGACTCGACTCATGGGATACATAATCAGTCTTCACAGTGACTAGAATTATTGATTCTGCAGTGGCACATTCAGGCCAGATGTACTGGCAGTCTTGTCTGCCCCTTGACTGTGGGGACACTACAAGGTTAAATATCAACAGCTGTCCTTGGGGTTTTAGCTCACCTTGGTCAACACTGGGGAGGACTCTCATTCTCCTTGTAGGTGACCGGCTGTAGTCCGATTGCCAGTGACTTGCGTGCTAATAACTTTGACTGTGAACAAATTTTTTCCCTGATCCAGGGATTACACCTTTAGAGGAGGTGATGCAATTAACCCTGTTAAGGGCTTGAAAAAGACTCAAGTCTGGAAGCCTCCTACTCTGGTATACAGTCCCATACACAAAATTTCAACATCTATGGCTGATTGTTTTTGAGTCAGGTGAAATACATACATATGTACAGGTGTAATGAAAAAAATCCCTTCTGAATCCATTTTACAATTCACTTTAGGAAAAAAGTGTCTTTTATTCTGTCCATCTGTACCAACATCATGCAAAAGAATCACCCAAATGGATATTTTTATTCAAATATGATACCCCAAATTGTTTGTATTTGTAATACTTCCTTTGCTTTGTACAAGAAAATAATGGCATAACTACTTAGCAAAACATACAAGTTTCCTTATAACGAACTTATTAAAATATAAAATTCATTACATAGAAATACTTCCATATTACAAGTGTTTCTGCTTAATTCTTAACAGTTCCAATAAAAATAGAATCACCCAAAAATAAAAATAGAAGATTTAAGGAGTTTTATTTTAAAATTTATAAAATTAAGAATTTAATTATTACACAAACCCTGCATTTTTAACAATCAAACACATTCATTTATAATATTACATTCGTATGCCAGACAAATTTTGCAGTGAATTTGGAGTGATAAAATATCATTCACAAAGTTGCATATTTGTTCCAAGAAGTATATTTTGTACATGTAGTACTCCTCTAACATTCTACATATTAGTCATTTTCTTCTAATAAAGAATTTAATGCCTTAATGTTAAATAAATGTTGTTAAATAACCTTAGTGTCAAAACGTTATTTAAAATATATAAATTAAGATGCTTTCTATAACTTAAACATGAACATTTTTTGGCAAGTTAATAAATACAAGAATGCAGATTTAATAACAATGTTGTTATGGATAACTTTTTTTTTTTGAGGGAAGGACTGCATTTAACATCTAAAACTGCAATAGAATCCTAGACATATTTTTCAAAATATTTATGCTTTCAATACTTTCAAGAACAGAAGTTTCAATGTTATGTAACAGAATTGAAGATAAAATATTTGAACTTTTGATTTACATTTCTTTACACAGTTCTATGAATTACTGAGCACTGTCAAATTCTAAAATTAAGGAAAATTCAACTTCAAACTATCATTATGATATACAGAAAATCTCTAGTAATCCTCTTCAATGCAGAACAACTCGATGCTTTAACCGAATGTTAACCGAAGGACAAAGATTTAAATTCAAATTTCAAAATCTGCATATGTATAATGTTCCCCGGAACTGACCTCATATTTTTTATATGGATAACAATTTGATTATAAAAAAGGCACAAAAACATGCACCCATACACATTCTGGCGCAGTGTTTTATAAGTGAAATATTTTTCATGTCAAAAGTGCCTTCAACTTTTTTTTCATAAAAATTTCGATCATTTTATTCTTTAATCTAATATTATGCTATATTGATCGAACATTAATGATCCATATGACCAGACAAGTATTGCCATTCCACAAAGCTAAGAATTTTCATTTATAATCCACATGTCATGTGTAATTGCCATTCAACATATGTGTGTGAGATAACTTTATCCTAAAATTATACTTACTACATTCATATGTTATGATTAAAAACAATTTATTGACAAAATTATTACATATTTCAATACGGAACAGGATACAAAATATAATTCCTAATTCAGGTAATTCAATTTTCTTTTCCAAAACATTCAATGATACTACTATGTATTTTATGTTACAACAGAAGTTTTTCTAATTATTTTTATCAAGTTTAATCAGTTTAAAATTTGTAGCTTATCTAAATTCATAGGATTTGCTACTACCAAGACAAACATACTTTTTTTATTTTAAAACTTTTGTTGCTCTTATGTAAAAGATTTTAGAAACAACCACCCCCCCCATTTTTTAGATCAAATTTTCATTTATTTTTTCATACGTCAGATCACTTCTGTTTTACACGTTCTTCGGTCTAGGTCCACTCAAATTGCAAATTATTATTTGATTTTTAAGCTTTTTTGCTCGTTTATGTTTTATGCTGTTATTTTCTTAACCTGGTCAGTATGTTTTCAAATTTTGCATGTAGTTCAGTTTTTTTCAAAGACTGGATTAAACACCTGCATACGGTTTTGTTTTAAAGCATTGGATTATTATTTTTGCAGCTTTGTTTCAGGACTCAAACTACTCAAAATAGTTTTAAAATTCTGTCTATTATTTCACAATTGTTTTGAATTCTTCTAGGTTTATGGTGTTATAATTCTGCAATTTTTGACACTACCTACTTCAACCTGTAGGGTTTAAGTGAGGGATAGATTACTTTGTTATATTTTTAAAGACAATTTCTCAGTTTTAAACTTGAGTTTGTGTTTTTGTTTGTTCAAAAACTGGGTGTTTTATTTACTTATTTCTTTCATTGCTTCAAGCCCCTGATGAGCATGCAGCGAAAGATGTAAATTTCATATTTCATTTTTGGTTTTGACATATTTTGCCCCCTTCTGTTTTCTAGTTTGCCACAGTGCTTCTGTTTTTTTTTTTGGCATATGATTGAATATGTGATGAATTTTAAATGTATATATTTTATTTTGCAGTATTTCCACCACTCGTTGGCTATCAACATATGACTAGATTAGGTTTTAAACTGCTTTTTCTTTGTATTATTTCCTTTTATAGACATAACATTGATATACAGAAATTAAAATAACATAACGGATTTTAATTTCCCTTAAACATTGTTAAGTTTATTATTACATCTTATTTTAAAAATACATTTCTAACTAATTTAATTTACTTACATATTTTGTGTTTCTGTTTCCATAAAATTTCATTCATTAAGATACTTAGATCATTAAAGAAAGTACAAAAGCAAAATATTTTAAATTAATATGTACCAAACGGCAAAAATTTTCTCTACCAGATAATGGCAGTCATGCCACTCTGAGAGTTAATATTAAATTACACAAAGGAAATGAATGAAGTAAAATGAACTTTTAATGTATGAACAAAACAAACAAAACAAAAAAATTTAAAGAATTAAGTTCCAAATTTTACAGCTTTCCATTGCACTTAAAAGTTTTGAGACTAATGAATGTCGAGGCCAACACAAGCTTAAAATCAAGCTTGTTATTAGGTATATGTGGATGCTTTACTTCTTTAACAACAACAACAAAAAAATATATATATATAATAGTAATTGCAAATATAAATGGTGTTCACATATACATAATTTTGCGTTTGAATGCAAATATATTCTAAGAGGTTTTGAAACAGATCCTCATAACACACATATTTATATAATTTAAAACAGGTGCTTAACAGATAAGAGAATATTTCATACTGAAATCTCATTACATCATCATATGTTTAGGAATGAAAGCATTTTTGAGAACAGAATGCACTTAATTTTTAAAATATACCAAAAACACTAAAAAACAATGGAGTTGTAAGGTCACAGAATAAATATATGCAAATGTATATTTCACCCCAAGAGAGCATTCGAATGCTATGGCAAAGCTATCACAACTATTATAATCATAAAGTACAAAAACCGTTAGCTAATTCACACATGGTTTAAGCATAGCCAATATGGGAAGGGAAAGTTGCACATGTATGAATGAAAAGAAGTGAAATTATCAATTGAATATTAGAGTTTGCTTTCTTGTGATTTGTTGGTTATATCAGATTGACATAAAGTTCCAGCTTTCAAATATTTATAATAAAAGAACACGGAATTGATGAATTTTGAAAAATTGATGAAAAAAAATAACCTATAAGAAATAGGTTTTGCATGGATTATACCTATTTCTTACTTTTCATAATATATTAACTGCAGCTAATGCCTACTTCTTAAAGTAAATAACAGTGTACTATAATGATGATAGAATAACTTCTTTTCTTACATAATAAATTTTGTTATTCAAACAGGTTTTTGAACACTAATTGCTTATTAACGTTAAAAACATTTAGCAAAGGTTTTGTATTGAAAAACACATTTCAAATTATTTTATTAACAAAGTCTGACAGGAATACTTACAGAAACAAAACTATTCTATTACTTATATTTAACAAATTAAACACTATTAATGTTTTCTGAAGTTGAAGGAAAAATATATATCTTTAAATAATAGCACATCACGGCAATCCAAGTATAATTATTTAAAGTACATCATAGCATAGATTAAATATATAATACAATCAGAAAAAAAAAAAAAAAAAAAAGAAATTGTGTACCTGGAATGAACTGGAAGAAACCATTTTCCGGCATCCTCCCCAAAAATCTCAGTGAAATTGGCATGCCTGCCAAGGCTGAAACCATCTTTTTCAGGTCCCGTTCTGAAAATGGGCGGCCTAAAAGATTCTAAAACGTGTACATTATTAAATGGTTCAATAGCTATAAGATACATATGCATATCTAATGAACATTTAATTTGAAGTTCTGTTTTTATACAAAAAAAGTAAAGTGATTTGCAGAAATGACGACAAAATAACAAATTACAGAAATTAAGAGTTACTATTTTAATAGTTAAATGCTAAACTGAAAAAATACGCAGAAATAGATATTGATAGCAACTGTACAATCTCGCACATTTCTATAGAAACATATTTTTAATAAGTAATCTGAGAAAAAAGCTTACGATACCATCTGAAGATACTTCTAATAGCAATTCAAGATAATTTTTCTTTTACTGGCCTGCTCTCAATTAAGAATACTAACCGCACATGTAGCAAGTTCAGCAGAGGAGAATCTCCACATTTACTAAATATGCATATACTTATATATAAGCTATAACTTAAAACTGCCTCTAGTCAAAATTGTGCTTGCTTTTCTGGCACACATCCTTTGTTAAGAACAAGCATACATACATTGCAAATCATAAAAGTTTTCTTATTGTTCTCCCAAATATTTAGTAATGGCAGTGGATACTGCTCTATATTTTTCTGATTTTACTTGGACACTATAAAGAACTTGTCTCAGTTACAAACATCTTGTATTAAAAATTCTTCATCCATGTGCAACATACAGCTTTTTCAGAACAGATTAATATAGTACTTCTCACTTTAGGAAAGCATGACATTTTTACAAAACCTTCCACATGAAAAATGGCATAAAGAATGAAGCAGACACCATTCATTAACATAGGAAAAAATGAAATTAAACTAAGATGAAAAACACAAAAGTCTTAGAATAATACCTATAAATAACAAAAGCAGGAATGAAATCATAAATGCATGTACTATGTAAAGCAAATAATGTATGTGTAATTTCTTACACTTATGCACTCTTGAGAAGATAGCAAGTATATTGGAAGATATGAGGTCTGGAAAAAAAATAATAAGACTGATTTTTTAATAATTTCTTATTTAATTAAAATTATAATCATGCATTATAGTCTACAAAGAAATTTTCTTAGAAAGCCACACACTGCTGGAGACCATTTTTCCACTCTTCATAGCAGTGCTGGAACTAGTATACTGAATTGCCTTCAGCTAGTTGGTTACAGTCATTTTAATATTTTCTAGCATCCCAAAATGGCATCATTTGAGGTGGGCCATGGGAATAGAAACAGTCACTTGAACTCAAGTCAAGGAAATAAGGAGGCTGAAGAGCCACACGGGTGTTTTTACTAGCCCAAAACTCATTATTTGAAAATGCAGTGTGATAAGATGCATTATCAGGAGCCTATTGCTCCTACTTGAAATGAAAAAATAATTGTTTTTAAAGTTTAATAAACCATTCAAATTATCTCTCTACAATATAGAGTAACATGTCGCATTTACTTCAGACATGTAACCATGTTTCTGACCAACTCCCTAGTTATGGTAATTGCAACCATTAAACCATGGTCATATAACTATAGCAATTATCATATTTGGCACTAATAACAATACATTGATCTTCAAGCTCGATTTTCACGCATATTTCTGAATAGTAGGGGCTAGTTGTTGTGAGCATAAAATCCACAGGAAATGGGCAGAGTATGAGTGAGCTTTAAGTTGGGCACTTTCCTAAGCGTCACTCAGTAACATGATAAAAACACTGCAAACAGTGAAGGATGTACAGCATCAGGTAATCAAAAATATGCACAAATCAAACTTTGAAAATGGTGCATTGAAATACAAAACTTTTAAAATATCAATTTTTACTATCTTTATTAACATAGTTTTTTTCTACAGATGCCAGTCCATGTGACAGGATTATAATTATTTTTATAATTGATCCTGCTTATGCAACGTGAAAAGTGCAAAAATACAAGAAGATAAAAAAAAAAAAAAAAAAAAAAGGGGAAAATGAGAGAAGAGAAAAGCTTCTGGGACTAAATGGAGAAATTTTAAAGTAATTGGTTTCACAGCTTTTCCCAAAAATTCATACCTATCTTTCAGAACAACATATCTATTCTATGTTAACACCATGACTATATTTTTCATTATGTCACAGGCTTTTCCCAGATTATCCAATAACAGTGGTTCCTGCTTTCATATTGCTAGAACCTTCCAAGGTATACGGCCTACAGTCTGAAAGAAAAACTACTTCAATAGCCAACCATACCATACCATACCTGCCAACTTTAAAGATATTTTCGACAGAAAAAAAAGCCTAAAGTGAAGTTTCCCGAGAAAACTAAAACATGTCTGAATATTTTGAAATAAGTACAGAGGGAGAAAACCTTATAATAAAAAAATGTGAACATTGACAAATGAAATTAATTTAAAAATAATTTTACAGTAGCCTTTTTTGCTTTTCCAAAAAGCGATTCAGAAAGAATGCTTTACAAAATGTATTATCTTAAAATGTCTTTATCTTTCATTTTGCATCTAATTAATACCTCGATTCCAAAAAGCGATTCAGAAAGAATGCTTTACAAAATGTATTATCTTAAAATGTCTTTATCTTTCATTTTGCATCTAATTAATACCTCGATTCTGAAAAATGAAAAGCAGATAAACTTTAATTTTAATGCTATTTTTCCAAAAATACGATTTTAATATATTAGTATCGTAATATTTTAGCAGTGTTATTACACTGCATAAAAATTAAAACTCAGTAACAACTGAATCAAGCATCACGTGAAAAACTGATCTTAAAATTGTCAAAATACTGATATGTTGCCAAACTCAGTTATAAACAGTAGAATTCATATTCCAAAAACGGAAAAATCTCTCCCGCTATGCAGTAAATAGAAATGAATTCAAAGAATAACCTGAATGTCTCCAAGAATACAGAAATTGAATACAAATTAAGTGATAAATTATGAAACTGGTTCATTTTTCGCATCTTTATAAAAAAATGAATTTTGCACGGAAGATCACAAAATCGGAAGATTTTGTAAAAATTATGAAAAATTTATAAAAGCTGGGAGATATGCATTGTTCCTAATGGCCTTAAAGTGGCAGCAGTTAAAACTGACTGCAACTATGTAGTTTTTTCCACATTCACATAGTTCTAATACCAGCAAATAAATACCTTCAGAATAACTCCCCACCTTTTATCAAGTTCTCTATTCATGCCTTTTGTCTATATCCTTAATTTCTCGACACACAGATAAAAACAGATAGAAGAATGACTTTTATAAAAATACTCTGACTTTCCTAAAGGATCATTTTGTCACAGATTGTTGAAGAAAAGTTGTAAGATCATGGTTGTAGAAACAGCCCCCCCCTCAAAGCTAATAGATATTATTCTTAATAACATCTGTTTTATAAAACTCGATGAACAACAAATCAATCACCCAGAAAATTTCATTCTGGAATGGCTGACAGTTTCGATAAGAAACAGAAATGTCACTCGAACAAAATTATGGATTATTTGCCAGTTTCAGTCAAATTAAGGACAAAAATTCTAAGGACTTTCAGGTTTTCCACAATTACAATATAAATGGTTGTATTTTCTTACACAAAAGGATTCAGCATATTTTTTACCCAAGTAAGTAAAGTAGCTCCTCAACCTTAAACTTTATCTTTCTTAAGTTTCAAATCATTCTTCAAGCGTTTTTATGTGAGAAATCTATTAGAACTTTTCTTTCTTTAAAATCTTGTTTATTATCTCAATGTCACACTTTTTTTTCACATCAGTTTCATATGTAGACAAAATATATTTAAAAACATTTAATTTATTTACTAGTTTCATTTAATTTTATTTATAATTAATTTAGTACGGCATAAACATGGAAAGCATTAAAAAATACTTAGTTTTTAAATAATAGCTGAATTTTGATCATAAAATTTTTGAAAGTTTCCTATGTTCTATTACTTTTCTAAACAACAGTAAATTTTATTTTAAGCTAATAATACAAAAGATATACCACTATAAAGCTTCAGTAGAAAAAATTATTTGTATTGCCCAAAATCTGTAAGAACTTGAATAGAAAGTCACAATTTTTCAGTCTAAGTACAGCGAAACAGACAGAAAAAGAAAGCACAAAATAAAATTTTTGATAAAAATAAAATACTAACCTAAAGTTGATCTGTTCACTGAAACCAAATAGCAATGATAACCGAAAAGTGATATTAAACTGACAGCAAACATTACTGATACAAAGAAAAGGAACAGTATGTGAAACTTTCCGGCACCTTCAAGGTTATTCTGAAATAAACAGATTTAGTTTTATTATAAAAATGACAACCTTTAACAAATTTTAAGAAAATCAGCATGTTGATAAAAATTCACTCAAAATTTAAAATTACATATATAAAATTTCTGACATATAAAGTGTCTATTTTTAGGATGCTGATAAACTAGCTTAGATAGAGAAAAAAATGCATATTTGCACAACATGCACAGCTTCAGAGTACACTGAATAACTAATAGTCTGAAGTAGTGAAGATATAAGTATACAAGCATCCTCCAAATGGAAAGAATGTACTTAAATTCAAGCTGTAAGCTGATTAATATTTGGATTCCTGAAAATATATCAAAACTGACCAAAGTAGACATTTGAGGCAAACTTGGAAATCAGAATTTATTTCTTCAGTGTTACAACTTCAGATTCTCAAAGACAACTGCACAAAAGCACTACATACCATTCACAAACATATGACCTATGAATGGGTAAATAAATGGTGGATACTTACATACAATTAATCACTGGTGCTGCCTGTCCGGGTTCACACAAACTGACAAAAGGCAGATGTGACATAGATCATATCCAAGTTCCAAACATAAACATAAAGTAATTAAGTTTCCATGATCCTTCTAGTTATCAAATCTGCTTAATCTTGTGCCATTAATACCAAAACAGCCTCTCAGAGTTAAGCCAAGTTGTATGCTCACATAACATTTTATTTACAAATTCAAAAATATGATGTCGACTGTATTCCTGCAGACACATCTTTCATCTAATGATATATGGAAAGTATATGATAGAATATCCTTGGAGTAATACTTATTATTATAGGAACTTTCTCGAGATTAAGGAAATCATTGATTTGGTAAGTGAAAGAAAATTATTAATTTAAATTCAGTCTAGAATTATTTCTTTATTATGAAAAACTTCATTATATACTTTGATTTATCATCAATATAAATATTTTCGTTATCTGTATTTGAGCTCCCCTCATGTCGGTTTGTCCTTAAAATTTTATAATACTCATGTTTAATAGGAGGAAAAAATTTCAACAAGTCCATCATATCCTTCTTCTTTTCTTTTGTCACAGTTCTATCTGTTGGATGCAATAAGGATAGGTCTCTACATTTTTCAAACATAGTGGTCTACCTGCTACACATTTTCTTATACTAATACCATAAAATTCGGTAATCTTCTTTAAAGTCACACTTGAATTGTATGAGGTGGGTTTAAACTTTTCTAATTTCATCCAGTGCATTTTGAGGCAATTTACTGGTATCCCTGTAACTTACTTTTCTGTTATTGATAGGATTTTCTAAAGTACTTGTAGAGAAAAAAATCCTGATGCATAATTTGAACCACTTGAAATGGTGCTTTCTTTTTATAGGTTTTTATTATATATTATACCAATCATCTGGCGAAAAAATGTTCTGGACTTCCTTTACTTGAGATTCTACAACAGCAAATTATAAATCATTAGGTAAGTAACTAACTGTTTCCACTTCAACAGAAATTTCATTTCAATTCATCCATTTTGTATTTCTGTACTTTGAAGCAATTTCAATAAACTTAAAAGTTTTAATACTTCTGTTTTGCCCGATACATGAGTCTGAATAGGTTATTATATTTTACAGTTTCAGCACAAATCTTTATATATTTTACAAGACATGAAGAAATTTCCTTAGACCCACTGAGATCCTTCTGGTTCTGACCAAACTAACATGTGACCAAACTAACATTTTTATTAAAATCATGACATCCAAAATTATAAACATATAGATTTCGTTTATAGTAAGGTACCAATGTAGTCAATTTTGGAATGGGTAAAGCTTTTTCCAAAATTGTCAAGTCAAAAGAAAATACAAAAATATCCTTGAATGCTACCATTTGATCTGCAGAAGTATGACTACAAGCCTGTTCAGCCTTCTGCAAGTGAGCGTCCTTTTCAATTTTGCATTCCTCATTTCCTCACTATCTGAAGACTCAATTTTTATTTGTAGAGAATGACAAGTGTTGCATGAATCTTTGGATGGTTGTTTGACATGCATATTAAATTTAGTTGAGAATACCTTGTAATAATATTTTTCTTTCACTGGATCTTCATTTTCTTTTGTACATTGTGGATTTCATACATTTTCTTAATATTCAAGTATTTTCTCCTTGGATCGTAAGCTCGTGTAATGACTTGTGTAGGCTGGAAATGAGTTTATGTTTTAAAACATACATGTCATCGATTTTTATTGCTTGGAACATGATGACCATGATGATCAATAAACAATGAATCTTGTTCTTTACAACAGCAGTCATGTATTTGCCTGTTGCTTATTTGGTAACTACCCTTAAAATATTTTTGCAGACTGAAATATCATCTTTTCTGCTTCTTTGAAAATCATATGTGAAAGAACATGATCTTGGAATTTTACTGTTATCTTTCAGATGCTTTCTTTTTTATTTCTTTAATACAAACTCTTAAAAAAATATTTTGCTCAAGTTCGGTCTCTAACTGATAAACTGCCTCCATGGCAGCTTTCCTTTCATCTGAAATGATATTTTTTTCATCGCACTCCTGACAACAAAATTTACAGATTTACAGATGTTTTTTACTGATGGTGACTACATCAATTATAAATTGTAATTTTATATATAGACTAAAATTGGTAAGTTATAAACTCTGATTTTATATATAGACTGAAATTGGTAAAAGCAATAAATGTAACTATACAGTCCACTTGAGTGTTTTTCTGATCTTGTGACCAAACAACTTTCATATGTCTCGGTAGCAGAGGAAAAAGAGTGCAGCGGGTTAACTAGAATTTTATTATGATATAATTATACATTATAGTACGGGGTTAATTAAATTGGCATCTGAAATAAATTATTTATTATTCAATGGCTAAAAAATTCTGTCATTTAGTGGTGTTAATACTTATTATTTGAGAAATTTGTTTAGAATTATAAAGTTTGGAGCCAATTAAGTGCTTTTATATTTAAATTTAATAAAATTTAAAAAAAAATGAAGTTAATAGATTTGGCAAGTGAAGCATCCATTTATCCTCAGATGATATATTCCTACACCATGTCACTACTATTAAAGTGTGGCTCTGGAACCTTAACCTGAATTCCAAACCATACAGAGGCTTCCAGACCTTTAGACTCTCAAGCCCTAATTAACCATTTGGAAAGAAGTCCAACAAAACATAGATCCATAAATCCACAACTGATGCAATATTTTTAACAGAATTTTATGAGTTGGCAAATTTGAACGACAAACAAATATTCTTTCATGAACATGACCAACTTTCTTTTTAATACAAGATGATGATTTTTACAGTTCCCAGCAATTTAAAAAAGGTAACTGCTTTCAATTATGTCACTCTTTAATATTAACAAATACTGTGCACTGACAATAATACATACTACTCACATAAGAATCAAATAGAAGTAAATTCAATGGAACATTTCCTTACTATACCATCACCTTACACATCAGTTCTGTTTTCAAGAGATTTTGGTTATAAACTTGTCTAAACCTTAGCACTATCAATCTGAAAATTGTTAAAATGGAAAAATTGAACACCAAAACAAGAGATACATCGGGAATGGATATTATCCTGATCTGCAATGAAGATACAAACACAGATACTCAATACATGGGCTCGAAATCAATAAATCCATCAGTGAGATTTGCAGAGTATAAAGAGGAAGTTCACAACTTTTCTGCACTATTCAAACTCGGTAAATGGGACAGAGTGAAAATCGCCAAAACAGCCCTAAGATCAGAGCTGCACTATAAATCACCATTAGACTGCTGCAGCAGAGAGTTCCATTTCAACCTACTATACACCTGGACATGTAACTCTGAAAAGCACAGCAACCCTGCAGAAAACAATAAAAAGGAAGAAACTAAATTGAACCATTTATTCCAGCTCCAACTGACAAAACAGATGACCCACCTACAAAAGCTTCCACTTTATTAATTTTTAAACATAGTCTTAGTGTGTCAACCTAGAACATTTCATTTAACTTCATTCTAATTCCTTCTGTTACAAAAATATATTACTGTGCCATTTACTTTTCTTACAAGAATTTTGTTAGTTTTGTTTCTTAAGTATTTGAATTTTTTGAAGATGTAAAATAGTATTTATCACCAGTTTTTTTTTTAAACTTTTTTTATTATTTACTACAATGATTCATCCGTTAATTTTTTAATCATTGCATATTTTTAGAAGAACACAATCAGTGTATTCCATTTAGTAACATTATAAATTCTGGGTTTGAAGACCTTCATTGAAAACATAATGTTTTTACAATATTTAGAAATAACAGCACATCAGTTTCAGCATAATAACATAATAAATTTAAGAATTAAAACGTTTAAATATGATTTAACTTTTAATTTATTACAACTATAACATTCAGAAATCATGGTATAAAGATGTAATGGTGATTAAACCAGAGACATAAATTATATTAGCAATGTTATTTGCATACTTTGAAATCCCACACGTTTTGAATACATTTATTAATAGAAAAACAATACAAATGAATAAAAAATACTTTTTGTAATTAATTTAAGCATAAGGAGCAGGTAAATAATAACTTACTGTCCAGAATTTAATGAAATATTGCAGGGATGTGGCTGATATGAACAAGCAGTAGAGCAAAGCATAACCCAGGAACAGAATGAAAAACTTATAATTTGTAAATGACACACAGTTATTAACCCTAAAAAAATTCCCACATAAAGTCAGTATATTAACAGTAATTTTATAATTTCAGAACACTAACAATAATATTTCAAAACACTTGCATGAAATCTTGAAGAAATAAAAAAAATTACCAAGGACAATGATGATCCATCTTCAACACACACCTAAAACAAGTGCAAGAATTTCAATTTTAACACTATCTAATTATTTCAATTTTAATATTATCTAATAGCTACAAATGAAAATAATTATGCACTAACTGCAGAAATAAATATTAGAAATGGCTATTCTAAAAGCAGTTCATCATAAAAGTGTCAAAATTACTACAATATATAAAATATTTGCCAAAAATTAGACATTTAATTCTGAAAAATATTTAGTTGTTTAGCAAAAGAAATTAACTTACACTCCACAAACTGAGCAATGATGAGCTCTATCAGGCTTTATGTTATGACATTTCTCACAATATCTAATAGCTGAAAAAGGTAACATTTTATTTTTCTATAAATAATTACAAATTTAAATTATGATCACTTGCAAGTTTTTCTAAAAAATAAATCAAAATTCAAGATTTTTTTTTTCTTAAAAATACTGAAGTAGCATTCCAATTTGTTACATATTGTTTTAATATACATGCAAGATGAGAATACACTTTTTACAAGTTCAGTGCTTGTAAATGGCAACAAATATTTTAATGTCTTGTCTTTTATTTCTTTATGTTCTTCTCTTGCTGAAACTCAAAAAAGGAGTAACATGCAGCCCCCCTTTAAAGCTCTCTTCAAAAAGTAATCAGAAAAAAGCTGAATAAGCCTTGTATTGGAGTATGATAATTTTAAGGTTACATTAAAGAATACTTTATTGAAAGCATCTGAAATCCAGCTCTCTTTCTCAATGTATATGAAAAAATAATGTCTGTAGATTTTTGAGGTCCTATTAAGGAAGTCATTATGTTTTCTTCAACTTTGTAAATTGAAGCTAATTGCTAACGAGTTGTAAATTGTTTCAAATATTGCATTTTTTCAATACATGGTTCCCCAAAATCTAATTTTTTCAGTTAGAATAACTTTTGTGAAACATTTCAAAAATAATTATGGATCTGCTATGTAATTTTGAATTAAGTTTATTTATTATTGAAAAAGCATCGGATTGGTTACCGAATCCTCAAAACTGTTCATCACTGGAAATTTCAGGCTTAACTAACACAGGTGACACCATCCCCCCAAAATTTCATTCTTCTGTTTTACTTCAATCTATTTAGCATTTTAGCACTTCTTCTGTAAGCAAAATTATATGACTGTGTATGCTGTTTGCATTTGGATTTAACGATGTTAACTATTTTTCATGGGAGTAGCCACTTTTAAATTTGGGGGATACTCATTTCTTCAAATGGATTTCCTCCAAAGCAGGCCAAATTTTTACATAACAGAGAACCTGATTCAAATTTTTGCAAAAAGAGTCAAAATGTCCTTTTTGAAATCTTAAAAACAAAAACTAACTTAATTCAGTTTTAAAAATTTATATTTAATGCATTGTAAGCTATTAGAATGAAATATTTTTTGTTTTCATTACAAGTACATTCTTTGAGCTATTAACCTAATGTTCATACCCTAAAGGCATATTATAAGCATACTGCATTAGTAAAAAAATGCAAACGCATTTTTTTACTAATGTGTAACTTTTATTTGGATTAATATTTTAGGAATATGCAGAAATTAAACGTTTAATTAAAATAATTTTTTTTGCTAAGAGTTTGAGCTTTCCTTCTGTGAAAAACGAATTAGTACATATACTTTGCAGTTTTAGTATTTCAGATATGTATGATGATTTTTATATAATTTTATAATGTGCAACACAAATGTGAGAAATGGTAATATGATGAAACACATAAATGTAAGTTGTTATTTGTAGTGCTATGTTTACTATGTTTAAATAATTTAAATTAAAATGTTTTTATCCTTCATATCAAGTTGACATTTATCACATATAAATTTTCTAGTGTGAATAAAAATCAAAGTAAAATTTGAAAAGTTGTAAGTTTCCACATTCACTACATTTAAGCAATATTAGATGAAACTTGATGCAAATAATATTAGCAATTAGTCCATTGCCATAATAATTAGCATCATATTATAATTACTAATGTGTAACTTTTACACATCAGTAATTATAACATCATTAAAAATACAGTTATCAAGTACATTTTAGTTCCTGGACTTAGTCAACAAACTGTGTTAGATAAAGGCAAGCACAAAATAATGATTTTCTGAGAAAGCGACAAGAGATGAAATGAAATTTGATAATTTGTAGCATAGCATTAAAGATAGCATTCATTCAGCATTAAAGATTTATACCTCTAGAAGATCAACTGCCTAGTAGAGAAAATGTTAAAAGAATCAATAAAAATAATGCTACATGTAGGATGATTCATTTCAAATAGAAAGAATATACGCAAAGAAGGCATAGGTTCGTAAATGCTAGACATCACAGCTTTACCAGAACTATTACTACGGAATAACTTCAGATTTTGCAAGTTCAACATGTAGGATTTAGTTACGTAGATGTTTAAAATCAATGTCTTTCAGACCCTACTATGCTGACAAGCAAGTTATTGCTCCAGTCTGAATACAAATGACAAAGTGCTAAGAAATTTAATCTTTTAACTAAATCTTTAACAGACTTTAACCTGCGCTTATAAAAAAAATCCTGCCACTTGCAAGTACTTAAAATAACATAAATTGAAACTCAAATGCAAGGTAATGTTGTTGAGCAACTATACAAGATGGCTAAGGTAAAATGTTTTAACAGCAAATTTTAAAGTGTTGGCAAAATTGGCAGCATAATCTGGCTGGTGATAGAACATAAACTGTAGCTAAAGCTGCCAAAAGCTCTAGCTCTAAAACATTCAAACCTTTGACTTAAAATATTCAAACAACTAATTTGCTTTCTGGTGAGGACTATGGAAAAGGAGTTCTACTAAAGGTTAAAACCACCATTGGTTAATTAACATAAAATATCTCACATCTGTCTGCACCAGAATTTAAACTAACAGAAAACAAAGGACTTAATGATTTTGGCTGAGATTTTAAATTCTCAAAAGCCACATGCTACAAAATTTCATTCAAGTTAACATAAATTCTTATGCTTAAATTTAGATTTTCCAGTACATATATATATTTCCCACTTTTGAAGAATATTGTTTATGCTTTCCCCTCTTTCATTTTATTGAATATTCCTGGAAGAAAAAATAGTTTAATAAAGAATTTTTGAGATGCACAATATGTACAAACAAGTAATCTTTTACAATTCACTTTTTTCTAAATCTCTTATGTTAGTGAATGAATTGAAGTATTTCAACATCTTCTACCTGCTTACTTAACCCCTCCCCCCAAAATATCAATTCCTCTTTTAATTTGCATTTTTTAATTAACAGCATTGCAGTACGTTTAATCTACATGCAGTCCTGCTGAAACTTGCATTTTTAATCTAAAAATAAAAATTATATTTTATTAGAACAATCATATTAATCATAAATATCCCAATAACTTTAAAAAAAAGGTCTAATGGACTGCTTTTTTAATACATTATAATTCACTATAATTTTATATATTAATTAAACACTGTTGTACTTTTTCTGCAAAAATTATGTGTAAAAGAAATTTCCAAAACTTTTAAAACTTACATCCATTCATGGTACGACAAGCAACAGGGAGGTCTTTAGCAAAGCTTTCTAAAAGCCTACGCTGATTATCTTCACTCTGGTCTTTTTCTAACTTTTCAGCTTCAGCAGGAGGTAATTTAAACTAAAAATCAGACGAAAAATAAAATTAAATTTTAATCAGAGAAAAAAAGTCTAGTTTCTATGGCAGGTTTCACTTAAAACTTTTAAATAATAATAATGTAAATTATTCCTCCTTTTGCATATCAGAAAATGTTACTTCATACAGAAATCTCATATTGTTACAAAATGTCCAGGTGCGGTAAGATGGATTACCCGCAAAGCAGTTTTAGGGTTGCCATAAATAGGAAGGAAGGCAAGGGTTGCCACACTTGGCAAGAAATTGCCCATTTGGCAACAAAATTAGAGATATGCCATGGACGGATTGAGAAACTTCCAAAATGAATTCTTATTGGTTTAGCCCAGAATGTTTTCGAACACAAGCCGAAAGCTATATAAAACCTGCTGGTTTGCAGTCAGCGTATGTGCCTCGTCTAGAGTGCGAGATAGTGCGTCTCGAGTTAGTCTGGGCAGAGTCGATCCAGTTGACAGACGGGCAGCGAGTGCATCGAAAGAGTCTGTTAGCATATAGTAATTAGTGCATCGTTGAGAGCGCGTGTTGAGCTCTGGGAACGACTAAACCAAAGAGTAAACCAAAGAGTCGGGAGCCGTGCTCTGTGTGTAGGCGAGTGCATCGCGAATTGTAGTGTGGAGAGTCTCAAGAGTACGAGGAGTTCCGAGAACGACCGAGCAGAGTCGAGAGCTGTACTCTGGTGCTTTGCAGTGAAGCTGTTTCCACCATTATAGCCTGATAACCTGAAGGCTATGTCGCTGATTGTGTCAGCGTGTTTATAGTAGTTCTTCGACGACTGTAATGTAATTTTGGAGCTGTTCTGATTAGTACTGGCTAAATAAAGTGTGTTTCGATATTCCATCAAGTGTTGCTGTCGTTATTCACTCCAAATCCACACGAACTCCATATAAACATGAAGGAAGAAAATAATGTAACAAATGGTGTCAAGAAGAACGCAACAATATTGTGAAAAAAAGAACAAAAATTTAAATAAAAATGCAGTATTACCAAACATAAATCAAAGTAAAATAAAGTTACAGAGTTAAAATTTGAGCAATATGTTTGAAAAATAAAAGTGTGATTTTTATAAAATTTGAAATTTTGGCATCATTTCAGGTCTAGAATTGAAATACAAAGAAAAACTGACATGCTATTTTAAGAAAAGTTTGTTTTGTGTGTTAAAATACAAATGCTAGTTATGCAAGAATCTAATATACAGGGTGTCTTTAATTTATTCACCAGATAAATATGTGTTTTAAATAATACAGAATAAGAGATAGAGACAAAATATTGAATTTTATTCAGTATTTCAAAGAATGTTATATTAATACACTTCAACATAAGCACTAGCTTGTAGAATAATTAAGTGTGCTTTTTGATTTGCGCAGTAACGATAGTGGTTTCTGTGGCCATTTGACTTTTTGACTCCTCAATGCTGCTAATTTCTGCAGCATTAATCCGATTCTTCAAGTATCCACAGAAAAGGAAGTCAAAGTGATGTAACATCCACCAAATGTGATGGCCCTGATATTGGTCCACCTCTACCAATACGATGATCTGGGAATAGTTTCATCAAGGAAATCATGCACATATGTAGCCCAATGACAAGGGTCCCATCCTATTGGGAAAAAAGTTTGGCTGCATTTTTCTTAATTGTGGTACAGCACTGTGGTTCCTTGATGCGGGTACACAAAAGTATTGTTCCTGGTGGGATGGTTTATGCCTGAAGGTTTTAATCATTAAGGCACGCTAAGGGTACTTGTGAACTCTCTTTAAATGTAACCTGCACACGTTTTTCTAAATCAGCCTAAATGAAAAAAAAAAAAAAAAAAAAAAAAAAAAGCAAAACGTAGTAAACCTTGCTAATTAACTAACAGACTAATTTAAAATTTCATATAGGTAAACAGTTTTTACAATATTAATAAGTAAACATCCATTTCTATCTCTGAAATTCAAAAGTTTAAGAGACTGTATGGAGTAATCCACCTAAAACATTACCAGTCATTATTGCATTAAACAGCACATTTTTATAAGAATTAAAAATGACTATTATTAAAAATACTTCTATAAAAAAGGGTAAAACCTTCACATTTCTCTTTAAAAATTAAAAAAAAAATCCATAAAATTATATGCACATTCTTTGAATAGGCAATTAACAGCAGAAGCAAATCATTTATTTTTCAGTTAAAAAATGGGTTGATATACTCGAGTTCGTGCTTTCTTGTAGCAGATCAATTATCAAATAATAGTAAACATGATATAGTAGCTACATTTTAAGAAATTATCTGGGTTTAGAGATTAACCATCATGATAATAGCATAAAAGTTTCATTCAAATAAACAGAAGTATAGACAGTATGCATTGCATTAACAACTCACCTGTTTGGGTACAACTCCTATATCTGTAAAAATTGTTTTCCAGTAAGACCACACAAACATTGCAAATATAGCGTGAAAAATGAGTAAGTAGAAAACTGGAAAAAAAAAATAATAATAACTAATCTAAACTTTAACAACATTTAATCAATTAAATAGCATCAAATTTTCAGTTTCTCCCTTTCATGAGAAAAAGACTACTTCAACTGCATATTATTACATTAAATTACACTGACAAGCCAAAACATTAAGACCATCTCCACATTTTTTAATAAATTCATCTGCATGATATGGAACGATTAAGTGGGAATGCTGCTGGAAAAAATAAGAAATAGTTCTTGCACTTAGTGATGCACTTGTGAGAGAAGGGAAAGACTGCTCATCTAAGTGAATTTGATGAAGGGCAGATTGTAATGGCCCACAGACTCAGAATGAGCATCTCTGAAACTGCATGACTGCTAGGTTGGTCACAATCTGTCATTGTTAATATTTATGCAAAATGGATAAACGATGGTAAAACAAGCAGTAGATGCCAAGGTGTTCGATGTCTATGCATCATCAAAGAAGAAAGATGTCGGAGATTGTCCTGCTTGGCACAGCAAAATCTGCATCAGACAGCATAGTCCAATACAATGCAAGTCCATGTTTAAGTGTTTCAGAACACACACTTCAGTGTACAATGTTGGATGAGGGACTGCACAGCAGACATCCCATTCATGTGCCTCTGATGACCAAGCATTATTGTCAACCGTGCCTACACTGGGACTGAGAACATCGATACTGAATCATGGATAAGGGAAAGACAATTGCCTGGCAAGATGAATCGAAATTTCTCATTCATCACATCAGGATACACTGTCTTCCAGGCGAACAGTTGCTTTCCCCTGTAAAGCAGGTCATACACAGACTGGTAATTGTGGTATTATGCTAGGGGACGTTCTCAAGGGTGACTCTGGAATCCTTAGCTGTGGACTACCTGAACATAACTGTGGATCAGTTGCATCCTTACATAGCATCTGTCTACCCAACTAGATATGGAATCTTCCAGCAGGACAATGCCCCATGTCACAAGGCTCCAGTTGTGTTGGAGTGGTTCAAGCAGCATAAGTATGAATTCCAATTACCGTATTTGACGGCATATAAGACGCACTTTTTTTCCTACATTTATCTCAAAAAAGTTACCTGCATCTTATACGTGAAGGTAATTGCATTCAATAATTGTTTATTTAGTTTTTACGAAACGTGAGAACTAAAAGAAACCATGCTATTGAAACTTTTTTTTCCTTGTGTGTGGCCGTCTAAATAAGGGTGCGTCTTATATGCCGTCAAATACGGTAATATCCTGGACAACTAACTCACTGGATCCTAACCGAATAGAGCACATTTGGGATGTCATGGAGCGGTAGCTCATAGCTCAAACACCACCATCTCAATATATCTCGTGACCGCTGCTTAGACACTTCGTACAACCTGTCTCTAGTCATCGACAAAGAACTTATGGCATCCAAGGCGAGTTGCAGCTGTTTTGCAGGTCAAAAGTCTCACAACGCATTATTGAGTAGGTCGTCATAATGTGTTGACTCTTCAGTGTATTTTGAAAGCTCTGGCATATTAAGGAATGTTTCCTCATATTAAAATGAAAGGACTAAGATTACAAGGGGATTAAATAATTTAGAATAAATAATCAAAATTATGCAAATAATGAACACAATGGGTTTTGTTTAATTCATGTAAAAAGTAAAGTTCAAAAGAACTTAAACTACACATGTGAAAATAACATTTTTATTCTTTAAAGCTTTGCTAAAACATTACTAGTAACAGATTTTAGAACTTCGGGAGGGGGAATCTGCTTTGCATTAAACTTAGCTGCATTTTTGGTACTAATGCACAACAAAGTGTCAATTACTTTATTCAGCAGATTTAAAAATCTGATGTGGCCAGCACACTACCTCCATTTGTATATCTTTAAACAACAATGAGGTTTAAATAACGTTTCACTTCTGATTGATTGTTTGTAAACAAAATCTACTTTGTTGTTCAATAATCAGAAAGGTCTGCAATAAGAAATTACTTGTGAAACTTCTAGTTTTTAAGTTTTAATGTAAATATATTGCTTATTTGGCACATGAGACAAAATGCAGGTCAAATAACAACTTCAACTATTATCAAAGGTTTCCTATCCGCAGTTTGCATGATTTGTTCCTACTTGCATATTCTTACAAATTTTATTTTTTCTAAGAATACACAAGTAGGAACAGATCACTTCTAATATGCATTATTCCAAAGATAAATAAAACAAAGATAAATGTAACATACTTTGTTAAGAATGAGGTGTTCATTTAGAAGTCAGCAAATTTTCATAGGACTAGTTTTGATGGTGCAGATGAGGATGATGGTTCGGTAAAACCATCGAAACTAGTCCTGTGAAAATTTGCAAATATAACGCTGATTTTTGTTGTTTGACTTCTAAATTAATACTTGTTCGGCATGTTATTTTATCTTAATGATGTGTTCTCCAATATACAATAGCATAAATAAAAAAAAAAAAAAAAAAAAAAAAAAAAATTAACAGCTGCAAATAAAGTGTTACTTCTGGCTGCCTAATCTGACAGGGAAACTAATGAGCTGTTCATTTAATTACAGAAATCATCTATCATCTAAGCATTGATGTACTAATAAAGTAATAGCTTCCCCCCCCAACTACAATAATGAAATTGTTTGCTACAATATTTCAGTACAGTTAAACCTCTAATTAGCGAATTTTTTTAAGGGATTCTGCTCGAGTTGTGAATTCCCTTGCATAAAAAACTCAAAATATCGAAGTATTTTATATCTATTTAATGAAGTTTTTTCAAGATTTTTCTTTCTATTTTAAAATTATTTAATTATTTGCTGCGACACATACCTGTGTGCACCTGGGGTTCTAAAGAAAACGGATGTCTCGTTATATGTCGTCACATTCCATTCTATAAGAGCGATGAAGTGGGGGAGGGAGATTCTCAAATGAGAATGCATTTGCACTCTATCTGTTAAGTTGAACCTCTATCTAATATCTTTATATGATGTAATCTAGCAAATTACATATGGTAATAGTGGAGGTTTTATATTTACGTTTTGAGCTTGTTCTTTTTGTGAGAAGGAGGCAAAAAAGGCTTCGAGTTGCATTTTACATATATTTTGAGAATTAATGAGTATTATCTTATACCATTTATACTTTGAGTGTTGTTTTGAGATGATGAAACTAGAGTTATCACTTATTAGATTTGTAAATAAAGTGTTTGTGTTGTAACGAGATGTTTCATTGAATAATTGATTACACTAATTTTCATTACTAATTCTTCTGATATTCGAAGGCAACAGGAGACATATGGCAACCGAGGACATCACACAGCTACATTTTACGAGTGAGTGAAAAATATTTTTATGTTTTTATTCTTTATATGATGTAATTCTTTATTCATTATGGAGACTGTATCGAGAAACAGAAAACAACTTTCTAAGTTGTTTACTCGAGCATGTAATTCTTTTGATGAGGAAGAAATTAAACTGAATTTCATGGAGTAGATTAAAGCTAATTGAAGAGAAAGCTTTATTAATGATAGCAGGTGAAGAGAAATATGAACAATTCTTGTATTCTGAAAATACTTCTGATACCGAAATAGAGAAAGTGGTAGATGAGTCAGAAACATATATTGATCGCTGGAGATCTTTAAAACAGAAGCTAGAAACACTAGTGGGTAAATAATTACCTTTTAAGAATGAAAGTTCGAATGTTATTTCGCAGCCGCACACTTTATTGTATTATCCAAAAATAAAATTACCTACTTTTGAGGGTAATGTAAAAAACTGGTTCTACTTTTGGAGGCAGTTTAAAAAAAAAAAAAAACTATAACATTAATACTGATTTTCACAATAAATTTTTTTATTTATATCATGCAATGCAGTCCTGCTGAAGAATTAATTGAGAGTCCCCCCCCAGGTGGTAATAGTTATGAAAAAGCTTTAAAACAGCTAAAAATGCATTTTGGCAGAGAATAATTTTTGATTTAATATACGTAAGAGATTTATTAGCATTAGTTCTTCACAAAGAGAACTGTCCTGAAAACTCACTAAGAAAATTGTTTGTTCAACTTGAAAGTAAACTCCACTGACTTGAACTATTAGGTGTTAATAGGGAAAAATCTGCTGCAAGGTTATTTCTTCTAACTGAAACATCATTACCTGAAGAAACTCTAGTTGTTTGGGAATGCTATAGATCTGCTCATCATAGAGTTTGAGAAGCAAGTTCAGATAATTCAAATCAAAGTAAAACTATAATTGAGAAATAATTGAGAAAAGTGATTTAGAATGTATTTTAGAATACAAGACAAAGCTGAAACTGAAGAGTGCCTTTGTCTAGCCTCTCAAAGTTTCAACACTTCAAAATCAAAAGCGGAAGTAAAATATTATAATTTTCCCAATGAGAAAAAGGTGAAAGTATAACAAATTTAAGAGTGGAAAGTTTTTAAATGTGCTTAGTGTGACATACCTTTTAACTTCATCTCATGTGTCAAAACAGCATATATTCTGTTCTAATTTATATTTCTGGAGATTCTCTAAAAGCAAGAAAAATACCTTTTAAGGCCGAAGGAGTTACTTGTTCAACAATCTCAGAAATGTTTTTTTATGTTTAAAATCTGGGCATTCAGTCAAGGACTGTAACTTGAAACCTAGTTGCTTTTGTTGTGGTAGAAAACACAGTATTCTTCCATGTAGAAAAATGCACCAAATAACTGTGCCTAAAAATAAAAAATCACCAAAGCAGAAAGAAAAAAAAAAGGTCTTTCCAACTTATCTTCTACTCCAGACATAATGCTGCAAACATTCAAAGTTATAAATAGAGGTAATGGGGGAAAAAACATGTCGTAACAGCTATTATTTATATAGTTTCACAGCGATCGTATTTATTATGAAGTACAGCTGAAGAACTGAACTATGAACCTCAGAATTGTGAATATTTGCAACACTCTTTATTTGGAGAGAAAAATTCAGGGGTATGCAATCACTATGTATACACTTTGCATTTATCAAGTGTACATGAGAATTACAACTTTAAAGT